GCAGGAGTGCAGTAAAGAGGGGAATGTAGTCAAGGTAATGGACGTCCCAACACCCCCTGAGCCTGTTTCTGCTCGAAAGAACCTTTTTGAGGGGGGAGAAGCCTGGAATCAGAATTCAGCGAAGGCCATGTCCTCTAAGGTGCATACATATATCTTGATTTTTTTTTTCTTCTATGGCACATTTGTTTTTCCCACAATAAATGTGATTATTTTTTTTTTGGACCCTATTGAATTTCATTGTCTAAACAAATGTTAAAAAGGTTATCAATATTTTATTTTTAATATTTTTGTACTGTTCTCTGAGGTTCTTTCATTATGTTAGATCAAACATACAAATCTGTTCCCCTACCAAAACGCTATGTAAACTCTGCTGGAAGTGAACGGCCACTGGTTTTAGGTTAAAAACCCATAAATACTCTGCTGCACATCAGACAGTAGCACTGCACAACACAAGTGTGAGTAATATTTTTCCAGATGGCCACAATTACCTTGTCTGTCATTGCAAAGATCCAGTATAGCAGGTGCTTTATTTGCAGGCCCACACGGAATCTGCACTCGCAGAAATCCGCAGATTTTTAGCCCATCATTAAGTCTATGCATTTACTTGCGTAAATTTATATTAATTCAGTTTTTAAATTTTCACTAATATTATTATGATGTAATAATAGCAATATTAAAATGTTCATATGATTTATTTATAATACAGTTTGTAAAGTAATACTGTATGTTCTGTCTTTGAGTAGAGATATTGTAGGAGAGACTTGCTTTGTTTACCAAATAAGTGGATCTAATTGGATTTGCATTGCAAACATTGAATTACAGTTAAAATGGTATTCTTTTTTTATTTCATACAGTATATTACGTTTTTAGTCATGATACTCCTAAAGTCATTCCGCATAAATCCACAGGTTTTAAATAAAATTCTCTGCAGAAATAGCAAAAAATGTCCGCAGACTCTTTCTGGGCCTACTTATCTGAAACTAATCTGTGGTAAAATGTGAACGAAATATGAAGTTGTTACTGAAAGGATCTGGATATGTTTATCTTAACAATAAAGTTCATCCTCACTTTGGTATCAGAAGTAAGGCAAGGCAAAACTGTTTTCTCATGATATGGCATTTTTATTGCATTTGCCTCTTGTTTTTGTTACCTTATGCATGTACAAAACTGTTGCCAGAGCTAAACAGACCAAGAAGTGGTGTTGATCTTCTGTAGGGGCTGTTTTACCAAATTGTAATAACATGGCACATTCTACAACCGGTTGTTTTGGCAGATTAGTTTTAATATAAGCAGCTTTGCGTCCAGTGATCTAAAACTTACAGGATTTTATTTTTATTACAAAAACATCTTGCATGTCATTAGATTAAGGTACTTTTGATTTCTCATTACATGCACTTCTTTACCTGTTATGTGCTCCTGCGATTACAGACCACACTGCAAAACTATAAAGTGTCTTTTTTTATAAAGTGGTCTAAAAAAGTGAATCTACACTAGCATTTATGGCGGAATCATACTGTTTTACAATTCATGATCAACATTTTGAGATTTGAACAATCCACATTTTGTCCTATAATACCCCGATGGAGGTAACTTCCCAGAAGCCAAAACAGAACAGTGAAATTATTCTACTTACTCATCAACCATTAAACATGAAATCCAAACTTAAAAAGTGTTGAAATATTAACATATTACACCTTTTGAATTACATTATAGGACCTAGATATCTTGTTTGTCATTGGCTGATTTAGAAATTTAACTCTTAACTTAAACAACTTTCATTCTCAAAAGTGAATGAGTAGCCTAAATGAATGAATAAATGACAGCAAGTTACTCTGCTTTAGGATACAGAGGGGATGAAGGTGGGTGTGGCAGATCTAATTAACCAATGGGTGAAGGGAAGTCCTGATACCAACGACAAGGGCTCCAAAGTGGCTGTAAGTTTATCTAAGATAAATGTGTCTGAATGTTAATCTCATAGCTCATTCACTCCTGGCTAATTTCCTTCTGTATCTGTTGTATCATCTTCTTTTTCACCATCTTTAGTTGTTCACAACCTTTTCGATAAGGTAAACAATTCTTGCCTTTCTTCTTCTTTGTGCTTGCTTTTAAAGCTTTGTGAGGTTTAGGTTCTATTAATTTTTCATCTTTTACAATGTCAGTGTGCTCCATGGGTTAAAGTCCTCCATTGGCTAAAAGCTATTATGAAAGATTTTTTTGGAGGACACTAGCAATTTCAGAATTCTGCTAAGATCTGCTTCGTCTGTTGCTGTGCAATGGTATTTTCTGAAAAGAATCTATAGAAAATAATAGAAAACGGTTGTAAGGTTAAAGCTCATGCTGCCCTAATGGAGATGTTCACAAAACAAGCCTGATGTTCAATGACGCCATCTAGTGGTTAAGTCCACAATCCAAATGTAAACTGTTACTTTCTGCAGTTTTATCCTATAAATAAAAACAATATTTTAGCCATTTATCATATTTCTTTTGTATTTGACAGTATCAGGATGTCAAGGCTGGTGAAGTGCGTAACATAAAGTCCATGTGGGAGAACCTTAATGAGACTTCACCACAGGACAGATCTTGTGCAAAGGTATGTATTCTATGACCTTACTGGACCAAATCACACTTAAAATCAAAGACTTAAAAATAGTCATGAATAATAAAAAAGAGCAATGCCATGCTGGAAACATTTCAGAGCACATCTTTTGAGTTTTCCTAGTGTGAGGAACATTTAATCTAAGCCACCATTGTACACCATATACAGTATCATCTTGTGTGCAATTATAACATTTTGTCAATGTTTAAAGTTCTTCAAAGAACCATCACTGATAATAAAACATTTAAGAGTGCACCATGATGAGAAGAACAGCATATGCTGGTTAGGTAGGTTTTGAACCATGGCTGCGGGTATAAGATGGTTCTTATTCTGCTCAGGACCAGATTAAGAGCAGTATCTGATCCTGAAACAATCAGTACATGGCCAGCAAAAAAACAGCTTAAACCAGCAGCCATGGCTCAAAATCTACTCAACCAGCATATGCAAGATCAACCCTATAGAAACATACACTTTTAAAATTAAAGATTATTATTGGCTCAACCCCCCCCACACCGTCCCCCCCCCCCCCAAGATATATAAAATGCTCTTCAAACTAAGACAAAAAAGATATATATATATATATATATATATATATATATATATATATATATATATATATATATATATATATATATATATATATATATATATATATTTTTTTTTTTAATAACTTACCCAAGATGGTTCTTCTGTCCTCACTGAAAAATCTCCATTTTCAAAATTCTTAATTTTAAGATGCCTACATGTTAAGATGTACTTGTGTTAAAAACAACAACAACAACAACAACCAATAAACGGCATCAGTTAATCATTACAGTTTTTCTATTCACTAGAAATATACACTCTCAGATATAAATGTACATGATCTGTCAAAAAAATCTGTCTTTTCAAAAGGTATACTTTAGTACTGTACACTACAGGTGGAGATTAGTACCATTGGGGTCACTTTTGTACCTTTAAGGTACTGTGAGGTACTCGTTTGTGCTTTTTAGGTATTAATATGTACCTTTAAAGACCTGAACAAAAATAAATCTTTTAAAAAGTTACTGCCCCAGTGATACATTTTATACCTTTTATTTCTGAGAGTGTAGGCTTAGTCTTATGTATCTGGAGTGATCTCTGTTTTAAGTAAAACTTCCATCTTCTTGACCTGGCTTTTGATGTAAAAACTTTATATTTTTTTTTACCTTTTCAGGGATTGGCTGGGAAAAGGTACAAATTTGTTGAGAGCGGGCACGGAAAGTATGAGAAGGTCTTCATTAGTAATGAAACAAACTGAGGAACAAGTAAGAAAATCCCTTTCTTTATTCAAATCTTTTATTCAAAATAACAAAATATAAATCCAGCATGTTCATTACTACATGGACATAAATCATGCGTTACCAAACTAACTACAATCTGATCATGTGCTGTACATGAGCTTGGCAGAATGCTGCTGGTTATCTACTGTACAGAAATAAGCACACGGCTGCATCAAAACTATTTATACTGTAGGTGTACAGAGTGTAGCATTTGTATGGTGATTCATTGCCGAAGAGTGTTTAGAGTGATTTTTCACTATTATCTCACACAACAAATAGTGTTAATCTATGCTGGTTCTATTTGAAGTGTCTATTGAGTTTTACCTGTCGTTTAATTAGTGTGCCATGTGTGTGAGTTGTGATGTGCTATGTGAATGTGGAGGGAGTAAGGGAAAAAGACAGCCATCTGCTGGTTTTTGCAACAGCAATCACAGAAGTACAGAGGCTGTACATGCAGTACCAACACATAAATGTTTTTCTTGTTTTTGACCATCTTCTGTTAATGTTACATGCCTGCTGTCACACATGTCAGACTAATCATGCTCACTATTTTTAACTCTAAACAAATTTATGAAATCATTAGCAAATTTTCAGTACAAATTTGTCATTATGAAAACATACAACACACAAATGGTTTAAAAAAAGTGAAAAATAATGCATCTATACTAGCGTTTATAGGGGAATCATACTGTTTTGCCATTCACGATCAACATTTAGAAATTTTTCTATGCGTTATGATGTTTTGAGCAAATGATGGGAGAAATTAGCAAGAAGTCAAAACGGAACAGTGAGGTGAAATTATTCATAACCATTGAACATCAAAACCAAACTGAGAAAGTGTGAAGAAGTATTAACAAACTAAACCTGTTGAATTACATTATAGGACCTAGATCTCTTCTACGACAACCACTGATTTAGAAAATTGAACTCTGCACTGTAAAAAAATTCGTAATTTTACGGTTTATTTCTGGCAGCTGGGGTGCTGCAGAAATTTACTGTAAAATAACAGAGGTTGAATTACAGAAATTTAAATTTAAGGAAATTGCTGTTATTTATTGGCTGTTATTTTACGATAAATTTCTGTAATTTAACAGCCGTTATTTAAATTTTTTCCGGCACCCCAGCTGCCAGAAACAAAACGTAAAATTACAGATTTTTTTTTTTACAGTTTGCAGTTTAAAGAATTTTACAATTTTTATTAGATAAAAATTGTAGAAAGTAGTGGAAGTGAATCAAAGCCTTTCATCAAAGTTGTCCTAAAACTACTGAATAACCGCCATTCTTGTCTTGGGACAATATTGAAAACTTTTTTTTTTATCCACTTTAAATGTTGACTACTGTAGTACAATCCTTATAGTAACAAAAAAAGGCACTGGCAGCTCACTACTCATTTTTGTACCTTACATTACATGACCAGCTAAGATAATATACTGTATTGGTTCAGTACAGCTAAAAAATAAATAAATTGATGAATTAAAAAAATATAAAATTCACATTTTTAGACTTTGCAACATAAAAAGTTGTCCAGCTGAGATCAAGATCCAATAATGCAGTGGAACATTTGGGAAAATAGGTTTTAAAGTGCTGTGAAAAGTTATTTAGAGCTGACATAGAAGAGCAGCTAATTTGAATTGGTCTTTTTCATACCAATAACATTAAAATAATGTAAAAAAATACTCAATAATTAGAAGAACACCGATAGGGGACTGAAAATAGATTTGCAACCAATATTTTTATGATATCCATATCACTTTAAAATATCAAGGCTTCTTCTTCTTAGTAATCTTATTAATAATAATAATAATAATAATAATAATGACTTATTAGAGTGTGACTGAAAACATACAGCTGATTCAGTGATAAAATTATTCACAACCTTCATATTTGAAATGATGTCATTTTAATTGGAAGTTCTGCCCATAATTCATAACTAATTAGACTTGTTCTGAAAAAGTGCCTTTGTTTTAAAAATTTTTTTGCTACATGTTCAAGTCACACCTTTTCCACTTTTTCCTTTGACCTTTTCGAAATGGACGACCACCCCCTGTCATAACTCACCCTGAGCAAGACTCTTGACACTGCTTAAAACGTCACATTCTGAAGCTCTCTATTCTAAACGCGTCTGCTCTCACCTCCCGGATCAGCTGACACAAGCAAACTTAAACCCAGGATCCTTCCGCACTACTCTCTGAGCCACTGTCCTTGTTTGATCATTCTCACCATTACGTTTTCAGTCTTTGCTCGCTTCCTCACTCACCACATCCTGAGCAGCTGCACCCATCAGTCGCCCTCTGAATGCAGGAATGCACTAGGACTCCATTTCTGCTGACCAGCCCCTTACTGCACTGCTCAGAGAGGAGTACAGTGTGTAGCTTATATGAATTATTGTTGAGTTCATTTAGAAAAGAACATTTTGAACCCTACGTGGTTTGATCATTTTGAGGTTCAATATTTGTCTGCACAATCCACCAAAAATGACATGTGATAAGAGTTTACCAGAGAAACAAGGCAAACGTTTTGCTCATATGTTGACCTTTTTTGACGCCAAGATACAGTAGCAATGCTAGGGCTGTGTACGAAAGCTTAGTCAGCTGACTTGTTGCCTGACTGCCCTATCAAACAGCAACCCTGGAGATAGCATTTGTACACTTTGTAAAACAGATTTCAGACAAACTTTAAAGCATAATAATTAAATCATGTACAAACATGTAAAGAGCATTAGGGATAACCTAATGAATATTTGCTTGCTCCAATACTTATCACTTGAAATACCATTAGAGCTTTTGGATCACACAATCAACCAGAACAAACACTGTTCTGAAACAATTGTACAGTTATAAATACTGAATTGCACAAATAAATCAATTAAAGTTTACTCAAAATACAAAAAGGCAACAAAGCAAACTTTGGGTCACATGCTGACTTTTTCAATGCCAAGCTAACAATGCTAGACCAACAAGCTGTCTTGATTTAAGTAAATCACATGTTGATTAGAACGCATGATCAACAAGAGCAAACACTGTTCCAAAACAATTTAGGGGGATTTCTAAAGTCGATCAAAATTCACTCATTTTTCTTTGACTAAGTCCCTAATTTACCAGAGGTTGGCACAGTGGAATGAGCCACCAACTATTGCAGCATATGTTTTACGCAGCGGATGACTTTCCAGCTGCAACCCAGTACAGGGAAACACCAATTCACTCTCACATTCACTCATACACTATGGCCAATTTTTATCCAGTTGACCTATACAGTGGTCCCTCGCTGTTGTTGTAAGTGCAATTTGACATTATATTTTTACAGCCATTGTGTTCTGCGTCTTGATTGGCTGTAGACCATTGTCAATCAATGTCCTCCGTGTCTCCTGTACAGTACAGAATGCGCTCAGCTTGCCAAATTAATGTAAATATATCGCTAGCAGTGTGGGTTTTAACAACGTTGCAAAAAGGGTTGTAACTGTCTGCAGAAAGACCATCTTTAAGGGGATCGCACACCACACAACATCACGCAGCTCCATGCAAACATTCTATTGTGGTACGCACACCGTCAGCGGCTGTCAGCGGTGCCCAGCTATGACTCAGGACACTGTTCATATTTCTGCCGCACCACAGAGGGGCATCTTAATAATTTCATGTTAAATAACATGCAAATGTGTTCGTCCGGCGTGTGTTTCTTCCAACTGTTATGTGCGTGGCACATGCAGTATACGACCCCCTAAGGATGGAGTCTGCTTTCACTTTGTGGATCAGTGACTGAAGGAAAAAAGAACATTTATGCTGGATGCCAACATTTTCAGCACAAAAGCTAAAAAGCATTCTGAATCTTTTGCTGACAGTGATGAATGCTCACACCTGACAACAGGTTTTGATCTTTGGTTTCATTCTATAATATTTATTTCTACGAATGTTAGAACTTTGAGAGTGAGAGAAAAGTGTGAACATGTTAATGCCTGTTGGAGAAAAGTGTATAAAGTGTGCAGTGAGGGGTTTTACAGTCTTAAAACATTTATAATAATTGTAAAAAATAAAGCTGTCTACTTCTCGGATTTTGCCTACTGCGGGTGTATTTTCAGAATGTAACTCTCATGATAAATCGGGGACCACTGTACTGCAGGTCTTTGGACTCCGGGGAAAACTGGAGTACCAAGAGGAAATCTATGTGAACACAGGAAGAACATGCAAACTCCACATAGAAATGCCAATTGACCCAGCCAGGACTCAAACCAGTGACCTTATTGCTGTGAGGTAACGGTGCTAACCACCAAGCCACTGTCGATCAAAGTACTGATTTGCAAAAATAAATAAATCAGCATACTAAATAACACAATTTATTATTTTTTTGGTGGAATGTGCAGATTTCTTTCTTTTTTGGAAATCTTTTTGGTCTACACCTATTGCCTGGATCATTATTTTGAAGGTGCGGCAAATCTCTGGTTGTTTTAGAATAATTTCTAAATAAACTCAACGCTGTATATTTAAAATGCAATCAAACATCTTCCGTTTTTCCTGTAGATGAAGCAAATCCTCTGGCCTTTCTGTTGAAGTCTTTTGGCTCTTCGCCTTTTTGTTTGCGATTCAGCAGCCCTCGTTCGAAGGCTGTAGCTATTTTATTAAGAGGTTTGGCAGCTGCCTCCTTCAGTTTCCGGGCATCAAAGCGTGGGCTGTAGAGGAGGATGGGCAAGCGGCTGACGAATGATGGTACTATCTGGCCATCCTTCTCTATGTTTTTCCGCTCCTCATCTGTTTTGTTACCATGTATCTGCTTCATAATGTTCTCTTTTGTGGCAAACATATGAAAAAGTACCGCATCCCACATTTTTGTTGCCCTGGGCTCATCTTTCTTTTTTACCACATCATGTCCACCCGTCAACTCTTCTTTTGCCCCTACAGACTTGTCTTTTGCACTCATCTTTATATCATCTTTCTGAGCATTTTTGTCCACTTCAAAATCTGGAAAATCAGGGACATCAGGTTCAACCACCATGTGCTTTTTCAGCCTTGTCCAGCCACTGAGTTTGGCCTTCAGGCCTTTGGGTTTCTGAGCTCCTTTAGGTTCATTTACCTGCTTCTGATCATCTGGCATTGGTTTAATAGAAGCCTCCTCCTTGTGTTCAGTGGCTACAACCTCATTTTGTTTGTCATTGCCTAATAAATCTTTAGAAGACTTATGAGGTTTTGAATTATCAGACTTTGAAACTTTGACATCAACTTTACTATCCTGGGATGCTTTGTTTGGTGTCTTTACATCCATATTAGATGCTTTGGCTTCTGTCTGAGCTTTAGCAGAGCTGTCCTCAGATGAGTGTGGTAGAGATTTGGCAGCTTTGAGAAGCATGGCAGCAAGACTGTTTTCTGCACTTGCAGCCTTTTGGAAAGACTTGACATGTGAACTTGGTAAAGGCTTCTGAGTTTCAGGTTTTAAGGATTTGGTCTGGACACTCTCTGTATTTAATTTGGTGTCTTGGGGTACATCATTTGATGCTTTTAAACTTCTTTGTGGTACAGCTGAATTTCCTGACTTAGATCCTACTGTAACATCAGCTGCAGCTTTACAGTCATTATTTATTTTATTGGAGTTCTTAAAAACTGACAACAGACCTGCAGTCGGCTCTTTTGTTGCACCACTTGGGGGGTTTAAGTCTTCATTGCTTTGTATTTTCTCCATTGCCAAGCGGGAAACTGGTGTTTCATTGTTAGACACAAATATCTGTGCGTCTGGTGGAATATTAGATAACGTGTTTGTTTTGTTTGTAGCGCCTGGAATATGTTTAACACCGACGTCATGCTGACCTTTGGTTTCCGCCATGCTTTGGTTGATTTTAGCAGTGGATTTCAGTAAGGGATGTGTTGAATTTGGGTTTAATAAAACATCGTTTTTATTTGCTTCTAGATTGGTGTGAACAACAGAATTAAATGCATCTGATTTAAATGTATTAGCTATTTGAGATGACTCTGGCTTAGAGGGACATAAAGTATTAAACATGTCTGTTTTAGAATGACTTTGAAGATTAAATTTGTCTAATTTGGGGAAAACTACATGATTGCCTGCATTAGACTGACATGAGGCCCCAGGGCTGGATATTTCTGTCTTTGACGGGGCTGTAAAGATAGATGGTCCTAAACTTGAGTGCGCAGATATAGTTTCCTCTGGCTTTGTTGCAGGTTTAATATCAGGAGGAACTTTAGTGTAACTTCTGGTGTCTGCAGATGGCATTCTAGTGTCTGGGACATTGGTTGAGTTTGGGGTTTTGTTTACAGTGAAACCTTCATTGCTGTTATTTACAACATTATGGAGTTCTTTCCTTTTTATGATGGTGGTAGAAGAGTCACAGACAGCAGAGTATGTCTGGTGGGTTTCTAAAGAACACCTGGATAAGCATGACATGGATTTCTGCTCTTGGTTTGCAGAAAGTTGTGATTGCATTACGTTCATTGATGTAGTATTACAACCTTCTGTTGGATATGTAGATCTGTGTGCATTCTCTAGCTGAGCCATTTGGTGTGGGATATTTTGAACTGACAAGAAGTTCTTTGCTAACAATCCGGTTGTATTTGAGTTCAGAATATTTGACTGTACCAGGGGAAAAGGGTAAGTTGGCATTTTTTTCCCCTCCACTGTAAAAGGAGGGGTGAGGTCGTCTGTAGACACAGAAATTAGTTTTCTAGAAGCCTCTACTACAGCAGTGGTGTTTACCGCCATATGTGTATTTGGAAGTCCATGGTGTGTCACATCTTCAGAATTTAAAGGTGTTGGTTTTACTCCTGCAATGGTCTCTTGCTTATTCAAACTCTGAAGTAGTATTTCTGAAAGGGGCTTACAGATGGCTTGTGTTTCAGTTTTGTCTCTTACTTGTACATTTGCTTGGTTTGTTGTTGAGATTTGTGAGGGCTGTGCAGCCACTGAAGTTTGTAGACCTTTCAAATCTCCTGACAATTTATCTGCATTGAAATCAGGTGCATTGCTAAACACCTCTTGAGGTGAATTAGTTGAAGATTTGGACATGGAATTCTCATATGCCACATTTGTCAAATCCTCTGGTAGTTCTGACTTGGAAACAGAAGGAACATCATGTGAATTTACTTTGATTCCACCATGAGCAATATATTCAGCAGGTGTCAAACCATAGTATGTTGACTTTCGTTTTGGGATGTTAATATCGTTTTGGAGTGGCTTTTGGTTGCCCACAAACCGCGCAGGTGGTCTTGGTGACCAGTAAAGCGGAGTATTGGTTGTTTGGTAGCTTCGGGAGGGTGCAGGCATGGACGTCTCCTGACTTGCATCTGTTGGAACAGTCTTGGCTGGTGTCGTTATACAGGTTTCTGAAGTTTCAGTTTTAGTCACTGGATACTCCTGTGGAACTGTAGATGTAAGCACCTCACATGCTCTAGAGCTTGACTTGTTAGCTTCACCAAAAGCCTTTGATAAAGAAACTTCACATTTAGAAATCTTTGGCATCAAGCATTCTTCAGAATAAGCGTGAGAAATAACTGGTTTGTGTCCTGTGGCAAACACAATACCGTTTGGAATGGAGTTCCTGATTTTATCCACAGCAATTTTTTTCAGTTCATTATCATGACAAGCTGTGGCGCTTTGAGCCTTTATACCAATCGATGCAGGAGGATTAAACCAGTGATTTTGAGGTATGGCTCCCTGATGGATTTCCGTAAAGGCTGTTGACTCCATTGTGGAGGATGATGTAGAATTTAATGCAAGCAATGATTGATTACTTATTAAAGTTTCAGAAACTGGTCGTTTTGCCTCTATGACTGGGCTTGCAAGTGTACTTATTTGACTAGAAGTTGTTTGAGCTTGATACATCATACCTGAACTCTGTTTAACATCTGTCACTGGGGTTTTTGCATTAGATGGTGATTCTCTTTGAAAAGTTGAACCACACGTCCAAGAGTCCTGAATAGGAGGCTTTGAAATCTCATAAAATGAGGTTTTTGCAGTATAAATCTTTGTTTGTGGAAAAGCAGCTATTTTTTCCATTGTGGATGTGTGTGACCCCGCTGTTTCCATGATGTGGCTGTTTGTGAGTGGTGTTTGAGTAATTAATGCAGGTGCAATGTTTCTATATCCTTCCCCACTGAATTGGCTGACTGGAACCTGAGAGATCGAAGGTTGCGTCTGGTAACCCGGCGGACAGAATGTTGTCAAACTTGGAGCAGGAGGTCGAACTACAGCTAAAGGGGGAACTTGCATTTGCACTGGGGCTTGATAAGACTGTTCTTTGCCCAAAGAACCATGCATCATCCCTGATCTTGTGCCAGACTGAAAGGTTTGGCTGAAAGCTATCTCGAAGGATGGGTCCGTGTCTGCATCAGTGTCATCATCAAAAAGCATAGAGGAGCATGTGTAAAGAGGTGCTATCTGGTGCTCATGTGATCGGGCTGGGTAAGAGTGCATCTGCGCCGACAGTGTGGGCGTGGAGCTGTAGTGTGAGCTGCTGGCTGGGTATAAGTATGGAGAGGGGGAGTGGCCATAGAAAGAGCTGTTGGAGGAATATTGAGATTCGTAAGTCCTGCTGAAGAGAGGAGTTTCTGGAGTCCTTGGTGGGGTGGAGTGCTCGCTGTGCTCCAGGTCAGGGCTGGCCTCGTTTACCGGTGATAGACTCGACCGGAACGGGATTGGTGTCTGTGAGGAGGAGCCCACTTTCTTCTTGGCACTTTTCTTCAGGAGTTTCTGCAGGCGGGCATTGTCTCGCCCTGGTTTTGGTAGTAGAGGGGGAGGAGGGTACTGCTGTGAAAGCAGATTAGGCTGACTACCATAACTTAAAGCCATCAGCATTTCAACACCTGCATTGAAAACAAGCCACAAATAGATTTCTGGTATTAAAAATACAACTTCAGTTCAGACTGAATTCTAACTTTGGCTTTACACTTGATCTCTGTTTTTCCATTCGGGTTGAACTGAGTATCATGCTTAATAAAATCAAATGGCTGGATCCTGAATTTTACAGTATTGCAAATCAACATTGTACAATGACAATCCAACTGTAATTTATAGCAAACAATATTGGCATGTTTATTACATGAAAGCAAATCCTTAAATTTTAATCTTTAATTTTCGGTTACTTGTCATTTCATTAAAAGAATCTGTGTATGTTACTAGTAATCTCTAATGCTGCATTTACACTGCAGATCATGATGCTCAAATCCGATTTCGAGGCTGTATCAGATTTTTTTGATGACCCGCTATCATCATCTTTTAAAAATGACTCATATTCAATTGACTGCATTTACACAGCACAAGGCAAAAGGTGCTATGAGCATTAAAAAATAAAAATTAAAAAAAAGAGTGGGCGCAGACTGACAGCTGATAGTAAAAGAGCACTCTTTTCTCAATTTCTGTATTTAATCTGTTCACAGGGTTTCATTTTTTAAAATTCTTTTTTGACTATTTGTTTTACTAAACAGTAGGTATGACAGAAAAGATCTTTTAATACGCTTTTTTAAAACAGTAGGCATCTTAACGTCATTTCCCTGGCGTGATTTATGCATGTGATGTTTTAGTCTAGCCTATATTTATGTGGCGGATGTTGCACGCTTTCTCTGTGTCTCTCTTGTTAACATGCTTAAATACTTGTGCTGTGTCAACATAAAAGCTTTTTTGTCCTAGTATATAAGATTTAAGGTTTGTGACTGCTGAAGCATGTTCCGAAATGATAGCGTCAGAGTTTATGTCATTCGCTACACGCGACCTGCTTACACTGCAGACACAAGGGCACGGATCTGATTCATATCGGATACATTTCCACATATAAACAAGGTCTGAATCTGATTTGAGTAAATCGGAATCCATGCGATTTTTGTCCTTCTTACACGTACATGGGCCATATCCGATCAGTGCCACATGGGAAAAAAGAATCGGAATTGGGTCACTTGAACAATGCAGTGTAAATGCAGCTAAATGAACTCAGATAACACAAACAACAGTGTTGAATTGTGCAAAAACATACATGTTTATTCAACAGAAGCTAGTTTAATACTTGAGGTTTACCTGCAGGATGTAATTCTCATTTTCAAAGAAATTGATGGGATTATGACTGATTGAGAGAACTGTTTGGTCTCAGTGTATACTGTTGAGGTTGCTGTAAAATAACAGCCCTAAAAAAAGTTTAAATATATATTTTTTCTCTTTCTCTTTAGCTGTCTGTTATATACAGAGATGTCTGAAGACGGGATTCTGATGGGATCATTGTCCTTCAGTTTTTGCACTGTACATCTTTTTTTTTAAACCCTCTCAAATGTAAAAACTTGTAATTGTGTATTAAGTGGTGCCAATGGTATACAATCACTTCAAATGACTTTAAGGATGAAGATTGAAGTTAGGATGATATGCGATGAAGCTTCAGATTCATGTCAAATTGTATTCAGCAATGTCCAGTCCTGCTCCTGGAGAGCACATGTGTTGCAGAGTTATGTCGAACACATCTGCCTGGACATTGTTGTTCTGAAGAGCTTGATTAACTGCTTCAGGTATGTTTAATCAGGGCTAGAGTTAACCCTGCTTAAAGGCGGCTCTCGAGGAACAGGACTGGACAACAACTTCTTCAAATAATCAAACACAACTTGATTTTTTTGTGAAAGCAAAAAATATTTTACACTTGCATGTGCATTGTCAGGATTCACGGATTCTCTGTTTAGTACAGATAGAGGAAAAACCTTATAACTATTAAATATACAAGTCTGAAAGAGGGTTTTAGATGCGATTTCTCATACCAATGAAAAGCACATTGTGTTGTCTTTTAATTCACTGAAAGTGAATACTAAAATGTATACCTTTTTTTATTCTTATTTTTTATGCTTATCAGCATTTTATTCAGAATTTTCATATTCTCAACATCTTGCTCTCATTTTAGTCATTTTTTACCCTTTGTGAAATGTCGCCATATACTGTAAGTGAATGCTATTCTGTACTGTAGCTAACGCAGTCAACACATGTAAACCTATCAGTCAAACGACTGTGCAGAGGAGAATGTATTTGTCACAAATAAACCTTATAATAAATACATTTTCTCTGGGAGTTCCACTTTGTCCACACTGTTGAACAATACTTTGAAAAATCCTGTTGAAAGGTAGGTTTGTCCACCTGTGTTTATTTAGCATAATCAAACATATGACAGGCCTTTTTAAATTAAGATTGCTTATCATTATGCAGAATATCAGTCAATTCTGATTAGCTTTATAAAGTTCCTGCAGGTAAATGCAGTGAGTGAGTCACTGTGTATCTGGGTTACTTCAGTATATGTGTGTATTCTAGTGTCTGTCTGCCAGTAGCGTCCCTGAAATGTGATCATGAGCTGCTCTAAGTTTTATTTTTGCTCTTTGAAAGACTGCACATCCTGCAACCACAATAAGCCTGGAAAGATAAACACCTCAGCCTCAATTCTCACAGATGAGCCTAATAAATGCTTTCTGTTAGAAGAATGCTTTATTAATACTCTTGAGAATCACTGCATGTTTACATTGGTCTAATAGTTGTCAAGCTGGTTAACCTCAGTGATCTAATTTCCCATCTGATTAATGAACTGATCTGAGGACTGTGTGACTAACAGAAATCTGCATAGTTTGCAATTGTAATGCATGCGACTGGAGTATTGTTTTAATTAAATTCTCTTAAAATAAACAACAAAGCAGAGACTTACAGTGATGCCAGAGAAGAGATGATGCTGATCTGCAAAGAAGCCGAACATACATATCCATATCAATTATTGCAGACTGCACAGGTACAGTGAAATGTGTGTAGTAGAGAAACAAGTTGCACAGATTCCACTGGCTATGCATACTTAATATGTCAAAAAAGGTGAAAGCTTTCAGAGATTTTATGGCAAGCACTTGTGTAGTTCTAGTCAGCAAATCAAACAGAGGCCTGATGCAGAGTCATGCACCAGACACAAACACTAACAGTTCACACACTACTAAACTCCATTATTGTTGATGTTTTTGTTACCTGTGCAAGTAATGCTGTGCAATTAAGTGTGCGTCTGCAGGGTCCAACTCCAAGTGCTCTGGGGGAATATTAGTAGAACAGAGCGACAGGACATGGTGACCTACCCCTTTTCCATGCCAAAAATAAAACTCCTTGCCCTGAATTCAAGCTGGGCTCTGACAGCCAGTGAGCTGCAACCAGGCAGGGGGTTTCCACTTCACCTGAAACGTATGATAGTCCTAGAGCGTGTGTTAGGTTATTGAAGGTTTTTGTCCAAGCAGTCGTTGCAATCATTTCTGAATGCGACAGGTCTGTTGAAGGTCACCTGGAATCGGTTTTATTAATAGTTTGGAGTTATTTTTTTCATATTTGTTTATTTTTTTATTTGTTCAGCAATTTAACTTAAGTTTTTTTTTTTTTAATTTTGTAAAAATTTAAGTAATGTTTCAGTTGAAATGCATTTCAAGGAACATGAATGGTTTTAGTTTTAGCTATAACTACAATAATCCTGCATGGAATTATGCTGTGGTAATGTTGCAAAGAATCTGTTTTATTGTTGTTTCTTTTAGATAATGTGGTGTAGTTTTTATTAATAGTTTAAATTAGTTTTTAATTTTTGATTTCTGTTTAATTGTAATTTGTTAAAATTTTCAGTAATTTGAGTCGTTTTTGTACTTGTTTTTGGTTTTAGTTTTAGCTATAACCCTGTCTAATGACCCTGCATGGAATTGATATGTTGTGGTAATATTGTTAACTGTCAAATTCTGTTAATATGTTTTGTTTAAGGCATGTGTGAAGATTCATGTAGAAATTATTAGCCCCTTCAAGCTATATATTTTTTCGATAGTCTCCAGAACAAACCATTATTATACAATAACTTGCCTAATCATTACCCTGCCTAGTTAACCTAATTAACCTAGTTAAGCCTTTAAATGTCACTTTAGCTGTATAGAAGTGTCTTGAAAAATATCTAGTCAAATATTATTTACTGTCATCAGGGCAAAGATAAAATGAATCTGTTATTAGAGAAAAAAAAAAAAAACAGCGTTCCGTTAAACAGAAATTGAGGAAAAAAATAAACGAGGGGGCTGATAATGCAGGGGGGCTAATAATTCTGACATCAGCTGTAGGCGTCATTCAACTGTAGACCACAAAATCAAAAGACATAAAATCTATAATTATATTACATTTTATTGTATTATATTATGTAATTAACATTAAACTTGAGGTCAGTTTAATTTTTTAATATCTTAAAATAAGTATTTATTTAATCAAAAATACAGTTCACATTGTAAAATTGTGAAATGTTATTGCACTATAAAATATCTGTTCAAAGTTTATAATTTAGTTTAATAATTTATTCCAGCTATTTTAAAGATTAATTTTCAGCTTCATTACTTCAGTCTTCAGTCACATGATCCTTCAGAAATCACTTTAATATTAATTATTATTTTTATTATTATTAATACAATTATTAAAACGTTAGTAAGGGTGGCGCAGTAGGTAGTGCTGTCGCCTCACAACAAGAAGGTCGTTGTTTCGAGCCTCGGCTGGGTCATTTGGCATTTCTGTATGGAGTATGCATGTACTCCCTGTGTTCGCGTGGGTTTTTTTCCAGGTGCTTCGGTATTCCGTACAGGTGAATTAGTAGCCTAAATTGTCCATTGTGAATGAGAGTGTATGGATGTTTCCCAGAGATGGGTTGCAGTTGGAAGGGCATCTGCTGCGTAAAACGTGCTGGATAAGTTATGTATGTATGTGTGTGTGTATATATATATATATATATATATATATATATATATATATATATATATATATATATATATATATATATATATATATATATATATATATATATATATATATATATATATATAAATATAAATATATATATAAATGTATGTATATGTATATTGTTATTATTTTTTATTTATTTATTGTTTCTTCTTTGTATTATTTTTAACAGTTTGTTCAGTATGAAACTTCAAAATCCTTGCAAAAAAAAAAAAAAAACTCAAGACATGTACAGGGCAGGAAAAAATCGGTAGTTTCAAAGCACCTGCCAGTTGTGCACTTATTATTTTCAGGATTTACGCTCAAATAATGATCTACAATATATACAATAACATGAGAAGACCAGTCAGTGGCCAAATATAAGCTGTTTCATTTGACATGGAGCCGGTCGCCTCATGGGGGCAGACATGTTACGATCACATGACCAGCTGAAAAATCCTGGCTTTATTTCTGTCTCCTTGTAATTGGAGCCTAACACTTAAGGATTAAATTAATTGTGTTCGACTCCAAACAGCCCATTTTAACAATGAACTTGTCATTTTTTCTGTGATCCTGCAACATTCAAAGCATTAATGCTCATTTAAACTCGTATCTAAGCTTAAAATTCACCATATATTTTTGTTTCCTGAAAATTGTTGGAGTTTGAACCACATTTTATATGTGGTGTCTTCATTATGTATCACATCTAAAATTAAAGTTTTGTCCCAAACCTTTGAGTTTATTCTTTATTTTCTCTATTTTCATTTTGAGCACAAAAATAGATATTATGATAAGCAACCATTGTCTTCCATAGTAGGAAAAACAAATCATTTTGATCATAATATTATCATAAATTATAATTTGGAACCAAATATTATGGTTACATGTTTCCAGCTGTCTTCAAAATATCTTTTTTTGTGCTTGTCACCTCCTCTGTTAATGGAGGGCTGGTGTCCTGCAGTATTTTATCTATTTTTATGTCTTGTTATGAGTAGTTTTAAAGTTTGGTTTAAGACTATAAAATGTTTAATGGTATGGGTATGGCTATAGGTTTACGGATTGGTTCAAGTAACAGTTTAAGAGTTGATAAAGTTTAGGTACAAATTTACCAGGATGGGTAAAATTAATGACTGGTTAAGGTTAGAGACTTGTTTAGTGATATGGAATGAGTTGATTAACAGGCAGGCCAATAGTGTACACAGTAAAAAAAATAATAATAATTTTACGGTATTTACTGTAAAATAACGGAGATTGAATTACAGAAATTTAACTTTTTTTTTACAGTGTAACTGAGCATGTAACCGGTTAATTATAGATATAATTACTCTACATGTACAGTATTCATAAGTTCACAGCAGTTGATGGTATTTTATAAGAAAATCTTATGAACAAAACAAACATATTAACATGGTTCAGAATTGTACTGATCCGTGTCAGTTTCTGGAGGACTGCAGCTCTGCACAGTTCAGCTTTAATCCTAATTACACACACCTGATCAAACTGTTTGAGTCATACAGGTTTGTTTGAAGTCTCCGGTAAGTGTGCAGGAGCAGGGTTGGGCAGCGGCTCTAGGGGAATTGAGTTTGTCACCACTGGCTTACACAGTGTGTAAGTACATGTCAGATTGTGTCGATTAGTTTTTACAGCAAGTATGATTGTTGCTGTGATTAAGTATGTCACCATTGAGGCATATGCAAAAAACGTCATATGGCTAAACATGGAAAAGCAAGTAAGCAATTTTGTTCATGTTGTACATAACATCATCAGTCCATTAAGCCATTTGTGATGTCTACCCTGTGTCCTGCTCCCTACAGCATCCACAAAGACGTCTCGTCTCCCTCTCCACAAGCAGATGTCTAAAAGAGCCTCAGACCCTTAGCATGCTCTGCCTCTTAACTTGGGCTTATTTTTGCTTGCCTTGTGCAATGACAGATATAGCGATCGGGTGCCTCAGCTTTCCAAATCTGATCGTCCTTTCATCCAGCACATTCTGTGGGTCTCCTTTTGGTCCTCCCCCCAACATTACCTCCTCAGCCAATGAGACTCCTTAGAAGATCAAGTATCAGTATAAGTCAAGGACTTAAGAAGTTTCAAGGTTTGCAGAACCTTACAGCCCGTCTTCGCCATCAAGACACTCTCTTCTTTCGGCTTTTCTGAGGTAAGATTTTAAAAGTTTGGTATTTAAAAAAAACACAATAAGATTGGGGCGAATCTGACAGAAAAGGTGATTATTTCTTTTAAAATGGAAAGTTACCAATATTATTGTTAGTTATTTCATCATACGCTTTAGGAAATTGTTGTAATTGATAAACTTGCTGAATGGGATATGCTAACAGATTTGGGCTCGGTGGATGTTCTGAATAATCATGTTAGGATGTTTGAAGGGGTGAGTGTGGCCCCTTTGTCAATGGAACGCTTCAGTCTCAGTTTGTACATAACACACTAAGACTATTATCAACTGCGCAATGCAATATAAGACTTACACATTGTTGGATCGCTCTTTGTTCTATCCTGTAGATCACCACTAATGATAGCAAAGACAATAGAGGCTTAACAAAGAGCAGCTGACAACTGATAAAAGCACAAACAGGATGGAAGTATCACAACAATGCTCTAATGATTTCTAAAGCACATACTGCATAGCTGTCATTTCCATGCTAGTACAGTGCATGTGATAATAGTATGTTATATTCCTTCTGTTGTGATACTTAGAAGATAGTGTTTATTTTCGGGCATAATCTGTCATTCTTTCCTTTAATGGAGCATAATAATGTAAGCAGGCGGTTATGCCCTCATAAGGCAGGGCTGACAGGACTAGAGGATCACTGTCAAAAAAAGAGAGAGAGCTGATGCTGAGAAATATGATCATGCGTTAATCTCCAAACGCGTCTGCAGCTGTGCTGGAGATATGAGTCACAGCACACACACACACACACATTTTCAAAGCTATATTAGTAAGGATATTAGGCATATGCAACCGTTTTCACACAAAATTATGATATTTTATCATACATGAAAACAAAACACAACAATTTAGCCTTATGATATCACAATACTTCACTGTTTTATGTTAACATTGTCACTTTCTATTTATAATACATGAATAACAGCTATAGCCAAAACTGCACACACATTTTAGTTTTTTTATTATAACTATGTTTAATCAGAATTATTTATATTACTGATCTACTTCGAATATTTTCTGCTTTTACACATTGTCCTCTTCGCTTTAATTCTGTCCGATTCAACAAGCCCTCTTTTGATCTTTTACAATTTCTTTGATCAACTGAAGTCGGATCAACAGTAAATGTTCAACATATTCAGACATTTTATAGTTGATGTCTTAAATGTTACAAGCATCCAAAAATATTTAGCATGCGAGGTGCCTTTTACACCTGTGAAGTCTTGTTAACACTGTCACAATGTTACAAGATAGGAGAACCGTTACAAATGACCCCTCTTTCTGCTTGGTTTAGGTCAAAAGCTCCCTGTCATCATGTCTGATACTGAGGATGTGTAAGTATTCTGACGATGGATGTTTATTTTTTTATTCTGTTCATCTATTTATGTTCTTAGGTCAAGCAAAAATTATGATACCTCTTTTTCCCTCTCTTTACAATCAGTGGAGTCGAGGGTAAGTAGTAAATTTAAATTATTTTTCTATACTATTATTATTATTTTAGTAGAAATGCAGAGATGCACATGCACTAGTCAGAATTTTTAAGTCTGTCTATACAGTTTATACACTCAATATTTATATTGTTTTTCCATTTAAAATATTGCATATACTGTATGTAATTTTTCAGTCAGCATTCATGTTTTCTTGGTATGTCAGCTATGATTACTCTATACTTAGACAGAGAGAGAGCCTTGGTGATTTATCTGAGCAGGTTTGACTTTATTCAGCATTAAGATTTTATTCATAAAAAGAAATTTTTAAAAACATATTCCAAATTTAATCTGCAAGAGTGGTGCCCTGAATTTGCCTGGTATTGTGCCACCTGCTGTCTGGCAGCTGTTTTCTGAATATCATGCCAGCATACTGCCCTCAGCCACTGCCACGGAGAGCTTTTTTTAGGAACCTCTCTGGAGGCTGACATGTCAAACGCGAGCAGTGGCCGAAGGCAGTATTTATGATGCTCATATTACTGGTGTTCTCTGAGGTGAATGCTCGTGTGAGGCTAGAAAGATCAGTCCAAATTTACAGGAATTTTCCTTAATAAACCGATGATGATAATAAATGGCTAAAGAGCACTGACTCCA